TTTTTTTTTTTGTTTCTAAAGGAACTTTCATGAACTAGCACTAGTTTGATGGGAACTAACCTCGAGGCCTCATATCAGACCTTAAGGAACCCGCGAAACGGAGAATTCCTAACAAAATGAATTAATTTTGCGAATCCAATTGAATCTAACGGTTTACGTTATTGTAGTTTTGAAAAATCCAAACATTTCAGAGATGAGGGATTTTCCTTTGATTGAAAACCTACCTTGGTCTCATCCATGACCCATTTTTTTTCATTTTTTTATACCCTTTCAATTCCATTTCATAGAAAAATACAGTTTATAATGCTATACGAGCGGGCATAGTAAGTAAAATCTACGAAGAGAAAAGGACGGATATGAAATATCCATAACAGATCCTTTTTCGGCCGGGCCAGAAGAAGGAGGAGTAGCCAGAGGAAAAGAAAGCAAAAGCGATTCCCGTAGTACCGTAGGTGAGCGAGAGAACTGCGAGATCGCCCCTACGATGGTGTTACAACAATCGTCCCCTTCGTTTCAACCGTCCATGGTGCCGGTGAATCGCTGATACCATAGTGTTAGTGTTATATACTGAAAGCTTGGCTTTGCATGTTATTACACATTTACCCTTTATGAATGAGAATCATGTTAGATTAAACAAGTTNGCTCTGGTAGTTAAAGCTCGAGATACTGCTGGTCAACCAATTAATGTGACTTGTGAGGTACAGCAATTATTAGGAAATAATCGAGTTAGAGCTGTAGCTATGAGTGCTACAGAAGGTCTGATGAGAGGAATGGAAGTGATTGATACGGGAGCTCCTCTAAGTGTTCCGGTCGGCGGAGCGACTCTGGGACGAATTTTCAACGTGCTTGGAGAACCCGTTGATAATTTAGGTCCTGTAGATACGCGTACAACATTTCCTATTCATCGATCTGCGCCTGCCTTTATACAGTTAGATACAAAATTATCGATTTTTGAAACAGGAATTAAAGTAGTAGATCTTTTAGCACCTTATCGACGTGGGGGAAAAATAGGATTATTTGGGGGAGCTGGGGTTGGTAAAACGGTACTCATTATGGAATTGATTAACAATATTGCTAAAGCACATGGGGGCGTATCCGTATTTGGCGGAGTGGGTGAACGTACTCGTGAAGGAAATGATCTTTACAAGGAAATGAAAGAATCCGGGGTGATTAATGAAGAAAATATTGAAGAATCAAAAGTGGCTCTAGTTTACGGCCAGATGAACGAACCGCCGGGAGCTCGTATGAGAGTTGGTTTGACTGCCTTAACAATGGCGGAATATTTCCGAGATGTTAATAAACAAAACGTACTTCTATTTATTGACAATATTTTCCGTTTCGTCCAAGCAGGGTCCGAAGTATCAGCCTTATTGGGTAGAATGCCTTCCGCCGTCGGTTATCAACCTACCCTGAGTACTGNAATTACTTCTACCAAAGAAGGGTCCATAACTTCTATTCAAGCAGTTTATGTACCTGCAGACGATTTGACCGACCCTGCCCCTGCAACGACATTTGCACATTTAGATGCTACTACCGTACTATCAAGAGGATTGGCTTCCAAAGGCATCTATCCGGCAGTAGATCCGTTAGATTCAACTTCAACCATGCTTCAACCTAGGATCGTTGGGGAGGAACATTATGAAACTGCGCAAAGAGTGAAGCAAACCTTACAACGTTATAAAGAGCTTCAGGACATTATAGCTATCCTTGGGTTGGACGAGGTATCCGAAGAGGATCGTTTAACCGTAGCAAGAGCTCGAAAAATTGAGCGTTTCTTATCACAACCTTTTTTTGTCGCCGAAGTATTTACGGGTTCTCCAGGGAAATATGTTGGTCTAGCAGAAAGCATTAGAGGATTTCAATTGATCCTTTCCGGAGAATTAGACGGTCTTCCTGAACAGGCCTTTTATTTGGTAGGTAATATCGATGAAGCTACCACAAAAGCTATGAACTTAGAAATGGAGGGCAGTTTGAAGAAATGACCTTAAATCTTTGTGTACTCACCCCTAATCGAATTGTTTGGGATTCAGAAGTGAAAGAAATCATTTTATCTACAAATAGTGGTCAAATTGGTGTATTACCAAACCATGCCCCTATTGCTACAGCTGTAGATATAGGGATTTTGAGAATACGACTTAAAGACCAATGGTCAACGCTGGCCCTAATGGGCGGTTTTGCTAGAATAGGCAATAATGAGATCACTGTTTTAGTAAATGATGCGGAAAGAGGTAGTGATATTGATCCACAAGAAGCTCAGCAAACTCTTGAAATAGCAGAAGCTAATTTGAGAAAAGCCGAAGGAAAGAGACNTTCAAATTTCGGATCTCTTTGGCTAAAGAAGGCGGGCAATGCCATCATCCCTTTCCTTAGATGCCCACCCCCCATCGGGGAGCGCTTATGTTATAGGGAGTGAGAAATCGGATTCTATCACAATTCGTTAAGCCAACTCCGCTTCTATAGCCCTTTATCTCTGACTCTTGCTTCCATCCTTCTTTATCCGTTCCCTCCCTTGACTGCCTGTCTTAGAGGTCTGTTACGCTCGTGCTCCCCGACTAGGGGTCCCTTTGTCTGGAGTGTACGGGTGTCTTTTTTGCCACAAGTTACAGCAACCGATGCTTTGATCATGACCAATAAGTAAGGCTTTTCATTTTGATAGGAATAGGTGCTTGCTGTCATGCTGGCAAAAGCAGGGGTTTCGGTCAGTTTGACCTACTATTTATTGGATTTGAACCAATGACTCTCGCCGTATGAAAGCGAGACTCTAACCACTGAGTTAAGTAGGTCATTTATCATCCCAAAGAGAACCAAAGGCTCGATGTAATTGACCTCCACTACTGTGCTATGGATACACAGAAATTAGAACCTACCCACCATTTGTTACCAGTGTGGCCGGATAGGCCATTCGAGTACCTCATGCCTCTACCACGAGAACACCGGCCGCACTGACACCTTATCAACCCCGTGCGACAGGCCTGTTGAAGGTGGGGAGGGTACTGTCGGGAAGAAGGCGGAGATGGAAACCAACAGAGAACCATCGTATGGCCCTTGGATGCAGGTCCCGCAGCGCACGCGCCAGCCGTATATACGACGAGATACGGGGCCGGAAAGCATGAAGGGTGGCCTAAAGCCGACTCCGGGGTTTAGGCCTGGCAATCGTTTCGACCTGCTGGAAAGTGATGAAGCTAGGGAAGGAAATCCGCCGTTTGAATTTCGGGCCCACACGAAAGAGACCGACCGGGCAAAGATGGCAGGGCCTCAGGTGGCTTCTGGAAACACGGACGACAGGGAATGGCGTGTGGTGGCAGGCAAAGGTAGGAAGAAAGGCAGGCCTAACACTGGCACGACTAAAGTGGGAGCTTCTAGTGGAACAGTGACGGACTTTGAGAATGTGGGGCGTACGGAGAGTACCATGATCAGGGGCCTTAAAACAAGTTCGGGACAGAGCGATCCTAAGAACAGTTCAGAGACCAGTGGTGGATCATCTCGTCAAATTCCTTCTTCGCATCTCACAGGGGTTAATCAAGTTGGTGCTGGGCTTGACCCGACCAAACATCGCGCCATTGTTGTTGATGAGGATCAGCCCCATATGACTCCTGTGGTCGATGTTGCTGGCGACGCCCTCATGACGGAGGCGATTTGTTCCACTCCGCGAACCGTGGCCGGAGGATCATCGCTCGTGTGAACGGCCGGTAGCCAGCCTGGACACGGCCAGCCAGGCCATGGAACTTGAGGACGGTTTGGACTTGCACGTCCAACGACTCGATTAAAGGCGATTGCCATTCACTTTCCTTTAGGTTTCCTTATGAAGATCATCGCTTGGAATGTTCAAGGTGCCGGTTCGCCCGCTTTTAGGGGAGCCTGCTCCACCTTAATCCACCAGTATAGACCTGACGTGGTAGCTCTATTTGAACCTCGAATCAGTGGAGTGAACGCTGATAACTTTGTGAAGTACAGTAAATTCGAGAACTCATTTCGGATCGAAGCCCGGGGCTTCTCCGGAGGTATTTGGATCCTTTGGAATGAGGCGGCGGTTGTGGAAGTCCTGTGTTACACTAGACAACTGGTCCATGTTCGGGTCTCCAAAGATGGTGAGGAATTCCTGGTCTCTTTTGTGTATGCCAGTCCCAATGCGATCGTACGTAAGAGACTGTGGGCGGCCCTGGATGGATTGGCACAAAGAATCTCGGACCCTTGGATTATCTGGGGCGACTTTAACTGCCTCCTTCGCCGGTCTGAGAAAAGAGGGGGTGCCTCGCAGTCTTGCAACATCAGCTCGGAGTTCTCCGATTGGATTTTTTCTAATAGCCTTCACGAAGCGACTACTGACGGTCACCTTTTCACTTGGGTCCGGGATGGTATTAATGGCAGGCTTGAGGAGAAGCTTGACCGCTTTATTGCAAACACGGCTTGGATGGAGAGGTTTGAACTAGGCCGGGTCCACCTCCTACCAAGGGTACACTCGGATCACTCTCCCATTATGCTTGCGCTCGGTCGGCAGAATGGTCGGGCACAAGGACCGAAACCGTTTAGGTTTCTGGCAGCCTGGCTGCTTCACCCTGGCTTCTCGGAGATGTTGCACGATGCTTGGCAACCCTCCAGCTGCTACGTCGAGGCAGCGAGGAGATTTGCTGAGGTGGCGGCGGACTGGAATTGGTCGGTGTCATCATCCAGGAAGAGTTGTTAATGATGCAGAAGTCTACTAGAGAGTGGTCACTCATGGGGGATAGAAAGACTTCCTTCTTCCACAGGTCAATTACATCGAGCCATAGGAGACGCAGCAAAATTACCGGATTGGTTGATGCAGACGGGAACTGGATAACGGATCAACCCTCACTCCGGAACTTGGCGACCGAATTTTTGAAAACCATTTATACAGCAGGACCGGCTCCTGAGACACTCGGCCCGGCGCCTAACTACTTCCCTGCTTGCGATGTGGCTGAGCTGAGTGCCATGGCGGAAGATATTTCTGATGATGAAATCTTGGCAGCCCTGCAGGGTATGGGGGCTCTGAAAGCACCGGGAATGGACGGTCTGAATGCACTGTTCTTCAAAAAGAATTGGGACACTGTGGGCCCGTCAGTGTGTGCTTTCTCCTCCTAGACTAAAGTCCGTGGGGCACAAACACAAGAAAGGTATCTCCTTTTCGGTCTTTCGTTGTTTAACTCACTTTTTCCGCGGAGTTGTTTTTTCTATTTTTTAGACAAAAGCTCTAGTATCTCCCAAGTCTGCAGTCTCTTCCAAGCCAAGGCAAAGATCAAGAGCTGGGACAGGCTAGGACTATTCTCTTATTTGAGTTGCTTTCGATGCAGTAGTAACAAGTGAGCAAAGAAATGAAACAATTATTATAATATAGTTAGAAAGCGAGGGGCAAGCCCCGTGAAAAAGCCTTAGAGTTAGCCTCTTCCATCAAGTTTTTTAGGTCAATTACATCTTCCCTCTCCCGAGATTGAACTTCGCTTCGAAAAGTTTGTATCGTCTTTCTTATAGAAATTACATTCAATTCGACATCATTCGCACTTCGGTTATCTACTGTGGATTCACCACACAGAAGGTCAATGTAATTGAGGATTAATAGGTCTTGAGTCATAGAACCTGAAGACCCACTTTAACCAAAAGCAAAAGGTAGTGCAAGATGAAGACCAAGCATCTCAAGGACTGAACTAGGCAACTTGGACGACTTATAGCAATTGGAAGAAAGTGCTTTTATCAACAACATGGAATAACATATAAGAGGTGCGTAGACAATTAACATTAGATTGATCTTTCTCCTTCCGGGTAGCAATGAAGGTAGGCGGAGTGGATTAGCAGATCGAAGTGCAAGAGCAGCCTTATTTTGAATTCAAAGTCAAGCAAAGAATGAACCAAACAAAAAAGACTTTTGAAGAACTATGTTCAAAAGCCCATGATCTGGAAGTCCAGATTTGTTGAAACAAAGGGAAGAAGGATTCTATGACTTCACTTCGCTTCGTTCGTTGGGATGAAGTAAACTAAAAAAGGAAATGGGAACTAGGCTTCAAAGGCAGACTGGACAGGAAGTCGAGCTAGCAGATTGAAAGCTAAATTGCCAAGGGATGCGCGCACTAGCTATTCTTCGACTGCTGCCCAAGAGGCTGGAGCAACGTTTGAACGCGCTCGACCTTGTTCACCCTAGAAATGCTGGTAAGAGAAACGGGACGATCCAAAGGCTGCCCCGTTTAGGTATCGGTTTATTGGTTTATTCCAAACGCCTTCGCCCAGTAGTGGAACCTTTAGGAGCTGGTACTCCTATTGCGTTGAAACTATGGCTGGGGAGAACCCTACGGATTATACCCCTACTATTGCCCGTTGGTAAGGACTTCGAAACTACCGGTTTACCGCGCATTCAAATCCTTTTACTCCATTGCACAGAATCGGCTTCGCCTTGCACTCCGCATCCCCTCCAAAGGACCTCCCCAACCACTCCATTAGCGCAGATCAGGCAACTAACTCAAAGAAAACAACACCGGCGCTTTAGCACAGATCAGGCAGCTAAACTACTCCCTTAAAAGTCGTAGATGGCGCTTAACCAATCCCAGAGTTAACCTATCCCAGAGGATCCCCATAAGCCAAAACCTGATTGAGCTTATCCCCGATAGTATTGATCCTTTATAACTCACCGAAGGGATATTCATAACTACAAAATAGCGAATAGTATGAACTCTTCACTCCTTAAACTCTCGCCGCTAGCCGATCCCCCTTCGAACCAGGGTAGTAATAAACTCCTNCTATGGTTGATATCTTCCTATACTTTTTGTCTTGTCTCTTCGGTAGACCGAGTTGCTTTCTATCAACGACTAATTTCATAAAATAAGAAGAAAAATTGACCAGTGATCGGTCTAACTATTCCCGTTTCTGCTCTAAAGGGCTTGAGTTTGAGCTCTCCCCAGCCGAAAAGAGTCGACAAAAGCCTATCTTATTCTCGTCATCTTTCCCTACGCCCATGGTAACCGAGCGAGAATGGCCACTCCTTTCACATGCTTTCTACATTGCTTGTTGAGACCAATGCCTGATGCTTGTCGGCTTTTGTCCATTCTTTGAAAGAGATATTAAAGATAAAGCGTTGAACCGCGTGAGGCAACTGACGAATATGCCTTGGACCAGATCTGAGAAAGACGCCCCTTGAACAAGGGCTACGTTTCGAACCGACTTGGAAGTCTCATAATGAAGCAAACCACCTTCTTTTTTCTTCTCCGGGGGACAACCCTCGTCAATTACATCGACCCAACTTTAGAAGCGAAGTGAAGGAAAAGAGTCAGATTCAGATAAAGACGGGGATCCTACCTATCTATATAACAGCAAAAAATCTACTAATAATAACATATTTTATCTGTCCGCGTAAGAACTGAACAGGTTTTTTCTCTATTTCCCCTTCCGCGTTAGCGGAATCCGTACTATCAACCTCCAAAGTACCCTCGTCTGAAGTCATCTTCGTTTCCCACTGGAACTTCAAATAAAGAAATTCAATTCCGCACGGGATTCAAAATTTGCCGGAAATAAGATATTTAAGAGTCTCAATTAGCTCTTGCTTGTTCCTGCGAAACTTCCTCTTAAGCTGCTGATCACTCTGGTCACCCGGATCTTGCTGACTCTATGAAATCGGAGAATTCTGATGCTGTCTCACATAAACTCCTCTCGGCCTTTCGGAGTTTATTGCACAAAAACGCCGGGACGCAGGCTCCCGAAAAGTCCAGCCCAACGAATGTCTCTCAAGAAAGGGGAAGCTAAATCAGCTAGTCCGGAGGTCTGTCCAAGGAGAAGGAATAGAAGAAAGAAAGAGAGCCAAGATTGGAAAGATTTTGTCGAGCTGACAGTGACCCAGCGGTCACCGTAGCAAGAAGGTTTGCTAAGGGAAAGTCGAGCGGGACCTAAATCTTTGAAATACTCATAAAACCAAAACTCTAAGATCCAGAGAGGACCAGAGGGTCGGGAAAGGTTTTTGGTCACAAGATCATGGATGCTTCTGTAAAGGTGAAAAAGGACAAAAGGGGCGAGAGCTAAGATACGGCCTGAGGCCAAAGCTATGGCAATATGGCTGTATTCCCTAGTCATCATATTTTTTTGATTACAAAGAAGAAAGGCTCGATGTAATTGACCTAACGGAAACTCGCTCAAGTGAAGGTTATTCGGCAGTGTAAGCAAGTCACTCTTAACCCTATAGTCAATTCAGATATGCTGCGCTAGGAGCTAATGAAACTCATGTAGCTCATCTAACTCAATACGCTACTGGTGCTTATTTTCTTCCTCTAGCTACTAAAGATGCTGTGGTGTCTACTGCTGCTTCTGCGGTTCGAGATTGGGATGATGATAGAGAATGCCTTTTCCCAGCAAGGAAGAATAGGTTAATTTTCTTTTGTTTTATTGTCTTTTTTGTGAAAGAAGCCGACTAACCCCCACTACTTTCCCCCGGTCAAGATAGACTGGGGGAGGAGGAGAGGAATATAGTAAATGGATTCATTCACAGATGAGCCCTTTACTTTATTCCTCCTCCCCTTCTTTGTTGCGTAGCGGAGGTCGATTTTGGAAAGTCCCCAACTGGTCTTGACCGACCAACAGCCCTTGCTTGGCTCTTCGGGCTAAAGTCTTTTGAAAAGCTTTTATGATGCCGTAAAGAAAGCCTTTTTTTTGCCTTGATTACCCTAGTAAAGATATACCACGCAAGGAAGAGAATAGGCTGCAGACTGTGGCACTGACTTTCGGAATGGAATGCGCAGGGTCGACGAAGTTGAGCAAATGCACAGAAGAAGCTCTTAGATGTTTATCCAGTCTTAACATCAAATCCTTCCTCCTCAGAGGTCCGCAAAAGAAAAGGAAAAGGTTTAGCGTAGCCCAGATACCCAGAATCCACTCTTCTTGATGGAATCCCCTGCTTGAGAAGCTGTTGTCGGAATAAGAGCTGGAAGTCTTCTGCATCTAGACAGGCCAATGACGGATTCGAACCTTTGCTTTTTTTTGACTTCACTTCGCTTCGTTCGTTGGGTCGTTCTAAGCCTGGTGCTTTCTTTTCTTCGAAGCCGGTCGTGCCGGGAACGAGATTCTCTTTGCCGTTCAGCCGGCGGCTAGGCTGGTTGTTTAATACGCGACATAGGATAAAGAAAGAGGTCTTTTCTTCGCAAGAAGGTCGCCTTTTCTATACGATGGATGAATGTGCCGATAGGAGAGCCATGTCCCTCAGACCACCTCACTAGATGAACCTTTTTAGCCCCCCGCTTCTGACTAACCATGAGATTAGTCATCCGAGCGAGACCTTGTGGGTTACAGCCTTACCCAACTGGTGTAATTTTGGGAACTGTGGAGAGAAATCTGTCACAGCTGAGCGTCGAGCAAAGCACGAAAGGAAATTTTGATTTTATGTTCGGCCTCATTTCCGAGGAAGGATGCTGCGATAGAGGAGAAATCGACTGGAATTGCCCCCTTCTGCCCTTGGGGGGCAAGAAAGACTGTATGACCGCACTCGTTCTAGCAGATCTGTCTTTGTCACAGCACTCTCAGGCCACTTTCCCAAGACAATAGGCTACGGAGCGGGCAGCCTCAAACGAGGAAGCAGTCCAATCTATTCCATACGATCACTGATCGAATCGGGCTTTTTCATACTCCTCCAAGTCAGCAACGGGCACTACGGGTACTACTTGAATGGTGATTAGTTTGAACCTCCTTCCCCTCCCACCTCTATGGCAGACTGCAAGCACAGAAGCTAAGGGCACGATTGCCCTACGGAGGAATGCCCTAGTTTCAGAGCAGAGGTGAAGAAGCTTTCATTCGAGAAGAGGAAGCATCGGGGGTGGATGTCACTCTTTTTTACAAAAGCTATTTAGAGCGATCCCCGTAGATTAGAGAAAACAGGGAAATAGCAAGGAAAGCGCTGGACTTTGCTACAGACATAGCAGGGGAGACTCTGACTACTAGCTGTAGGGATCCCTAGGCCTCACATTCGATTAGGGAAGGCAGTCCCGAGACTATAATAATCAGTGGACTGCTCGCCGCATTGATTCTTTCTTTATTCCCGGATGGATATTGATAGATTCCTAGTACCGACCTTACTTCTTTATCTATGACTTCACTTCGCTTCTAAAGATGCAATTGACCTATGGTCGCCTCATATACTCCACTCGCTGAATTTTGTGCCCACTCTCACTCTATAGACTAACGGTTTCTGCAAAGAAACCTCAACACAAATACGTGCAAACCTGGCTCTAGTGGCCAACGACGTAGTTGTATCAATCTTCAAAGGCTTTCCAATCTCTTTTATCGGCGCCACACAATTGTACAATAATCCCTCCTCAAGAACCAGGGGCTGTTAGATGATCCGTTCAATGTTTCTGGGATTTTTTAAGGGGTTTTTGGGGAAGGAGACAAGCTTAAACCTTTATATGATATTCTAATAGAAAGCCTCTCTGGGATGTCATCCTTTGAAAAGAAGACCAAGGAAATCTCGATTCAACTACAAGCCCAGATTAGGAAGGAAGAGCTTCTGGCTATCGAGAAAGCCCTGCTTGACCCTACCCACCAAGAACAGATTCTCGCCATCTATTTTCATTGTTCAACTCCTTGTAGAATTGGTTCTTTCGCAGTTATATGAGCCTGGTCTATATAGGACATTATTCGTGGCGATGAATATCTTTCTATGAATGTCATATAGAAGTATTTCATTATCTGCATCAAGAATTTCATATAGAAGATACGAATTGAAACTCATAATGATCTTACGACTTTCTACTGGTTTCATTCCTTCTTACTTCTCTTCTCTGAATGAATGAAGGAGGAAGCTCTTTCTTTTAAGCATCTGCTCGTTATACTCGAATACTAAATCCTCCTTGAGTAAGACTCCATCGTGGGCTGTCGGAACCATGAACCACCGGTACGAACCGCTGATTATAGGGAAACCTTTTTCACGAATGAATCAAAGAATAGGACGTTTTAATAAAAGTTAGAATAATAAGAATTTCCTTTTTTCCGAATAGTTTTCTAAATTGGTGGTATGACGCGGACGGATGGGCCCTTTATACGATACGCGAACTTTATATTTATGGCTCATCTGATCTACGACCAGCCTCATGCACTTCTTCCATCTCCTTCGATCTCTGCTGCGATTCCTGTACATGCTTTCTATGAGGTTGGAGATGACCTATGCAAACATCCAAGGTAGAGCTGCCCTGGATCTCCTAACTCCCAACCTCTGTCCCGACCGAAGAGGTGTAGGCTAACAACAGGCGACCATAGGGAGGTTCAACTTATATATAGATAATTGTGATTGTGATACCCTGGCCTTTAGGAGGGCCATTGTGACCCGAGAGTGAATGGTCAATTCCTCTCCCAAATCTTTTCTACACTTCGCTTCGCTTCGTTTTTTAGAGTCTCACTTTGCTCTCCTTGCTATACCTGAATCAGTTTGACTCAATGCTTGCACCACAAGCTTCCTTCTCATACACATCCGAAGCAAGGTTTGATCATCAGCATTAGAGATTCCGGTCCTTGAAAGAGCGTCATCAGTGACGCTCGTCATGACTCGATCACTCATTCTTCCATTGGGGACAGGTGCACGAACGACAACTCCAATAAAGGATGAAAGGAATGAGCTCTCAGTCAAGGTTAGAGAGAGAGAAATTCCCTCCCTTGGAAGAAAAATTCGTGCAAGATGCCTTGCTCATTTTGAGTTCTTACAATCTGGATTTCTTGTATTTAGCTTCAGTTTCTTTGCATCCCGGTTGCGGAACCTCTGTTCCAAGTTCGTCTAGGGCCGATTTCACCACTTCGGGCAAGATTTTGAGGGTTTTGTACCAGTTTCTGTGAGCAGCGACTTCGCGTTTTCTGCTTCAATCCCTCCGATTTTGGTTGGTTTTGTTGCTGGATTTTTGCGACCAGACATTGCTCCTTGACCTCTGAACAATTTCGCACCAGATTCTTCAGCTTTTGGAGCATGTAATCGATCGTCTTCCTCAATTTGTCTGCGCTGCTACAGTGCTTTCTGCGCTACAGTACTTTCAGCACAACACTTTGAAAAAATGACGGGGGGAGGCAAGAAAAAATCTCTTTTTCGGCGTCTGAAAATTGAACACTCCTATGAACGTGACGTTGAGCAGCTTGAGATTGAAGAAGGTCAGCCAAGCAGCCCTGCAGCAAGCAGCAAG